GTAGGCATTCTCTTTCCATTATTTCACCTACCCCATTGTCCCCTGCATCTGATAGAAAGGGTTTTGTTTTCACAATGGACCTTGGATGTCAGAGAGAGTGGGTCTGGGGTGTGTATGTAACTTGTAGGATACTCATGTGGGGTGGCCTGCCTTCTAGTTAAAAAAAAATTCTTTTATTGAATTTAATGGGTTGATATTGGTTAATAAAATTATATAGGCTTCAGGTGTACAATTCATCATCTGTATGTTGTATTATGTATTCACCACACCAAGTCAAGTCTCCTTCCATCACCCTTTACGCTCTGTTACCTTCCCCAATCCCCTTTCCCACTGGTACTCACCATACTATTATCTGTGTCTATGAGGGTTTTTTTTTTTTTGCTTTGCTTAATCTCTTCCCCTTTTCACCCAGCTCCTCAACCCCACTCTCCTCTGACAGCTGTTAGTCTGTTTTCATCTACAAGTCTATTTCTATTTTGGTAGTTTGTTTTGTTCATTAGATTCCACATATGAGTGAAATCATATGGTACTTAACCTTTCTCTGACGGGCTTATTTCACTTACTATAATATCCTCCAGGTCCATCCATGCTGTGGCAAAGGGTAACATTTCCTTCTTTTTTTATGGCCAAGTAGTATTCTATTATGTAAGTGTATCAAAGCTTTTTTATCCATTCATCTACTGATGGGCACTTCCAAGTCTTGGCTATTGTAAATAACACAGCAATGAACATAGGAATGCATGCATTCTTAGGAATTAATGTTTCAGGTTTCTTCAGATATATTCCCAGGAGTGTGATTGTTGGGTTAAATGGCAGTTCCATTTTTTAATTTTTTAAGGAAACTCCATACTGTTTTCCATAGTGGCTGCACCAGTCTGCATTTTCACCAACAGTGCCGAGGATTCCCTTTTCCCCACATCCTCACCAGCACTTGTTGATTTATTGATGGTTGCCATTTGGACAAGTCCATTTGGACAAATGTGAGATATCTCATTGTGGTTTTAATTGTCATTTCTTTGATGATTAGTAGCATTGAGCATCTTTTCATATTCTATTAGCCATTTGTATGTCTTCTTCATGCTCATTTTTTAACTGAAGTGTATTTTTGGCGTTGAGCTATATCAGTCAGTCCTTTAAATATTTTGCTTATTAACCCATCATCAAATATATCATTGTCAAATATGTTCTCCCATTCAGTGGGTTGTCTTTTCATTTTGTTGATTGTTTCCTTTGCTATGCAAAACTTTTTAGTTTGATGTAGACTCATTTGTTTATTTTTTTCCCTTTTGTTTCCCTTGCCTGAGGTGCTATATCAAAAAAAGTATTGCTACAAGAAATGTTTAAGATTTTTAAGGTTTATGTTTTCTTCTAGAATTTTTATGATTTCAAGTCTAACATGTAAGGATTTAATTCATTTTGAGTTTATCCTTGTGGTCTAGTTTTATCTCCCCCTCCCCCCATTCTCTCTAATTTTCCCAAAACCATTTACCAAATATACTAACTTTACCTCATTGTATGTTTTTGCCTCCTTTGTCAAGTATTTAATTGACCATAACAGTGTGGGGTTTATTTCTGAGCTCTTTATTCTGTTTCTTTATCTATATGCTTGTTCTTATGCCAGGATCATACTCTTTTGATTACTATGGCTTTGTAGTATAGTTTGATATCAGGTAGTGTGATTCCTCCTATTTTGTTCTTCTTTCTCAAGATTGCTGTGACTTTTTGAGGCCTTTTGTAGTTCCATATAAATTTTTGGAATATTTGTTCTATTTCTATGAAATGCACCATTGGTATCTTGATAAGAATTGCATCAAATTTATAGATTGCTTTGGGTAGTATCGATATTTTAATGATGTTAATTCTTCCTATTCATTCATGAACAATGTATATGCTTCAACTTATTTGTATCTTCTTCAAATTCTTTCTTCAGTGTCTTACAATTTTCTGAGTACAGATCTTTTACATTCTTGGTTAAATTTATTCCAAGGTATCTTATCTTATTTATTTTTGAGGTAATTATAAATGGGATTGCTTTCCTAGTTTCTCTTTCTGATAGTGCATTATTGGTGTATAAAAATACAATCCATTTTTGAGTTTTATTTTGTATCCTGCAATTTTATGGGATTTACTTACCAGTTTTAAAAGTTTTTTTTTTTGTGTGTGTGTGTGAAATCTTTAGGTTACTTTATATACAGTTTCATCAAATGACAATTTTACCTCTTTCTTTCCAATTTGGATACCTTCAATTTTTTCTTCTTGTCTGATTTCGGTGGCTAGGACTTCCAATGCTATGTTAAATAAGAGTGGTTAAAGCAGACATCCTTGTCTTGTTTCCAGTCTTAAGGGAAACGCTTGTAGTTTTTATCCAATTCATATGATGTTGGCTGTAGGTTTGTCATATATGGCTTTTATTAAGCTGAGACACGTTCCCTCTATTCTTATTTTGTTGAGAGGTTTTTTTAAAAATCATAGATGGATGCTGGATTTTACCAAATGCTTTTTCAGCATCTATTGATCTGATCAATTGATTCTTATCTTTCAATTTGTTTATGTGATGTATCATGTTTATTGATTTGCAGCTATTACACCAACCTTGCATACTCAGATAAAGACCACTTGATCATGGAGTGTGATCTTTTTAATGAATTGCTAGATCTGGTTTTCTAATATTTTGTTGAAGATTTTAGAATTCATGTTCATCAGGGATAAGATTTCAATGTAGGGCAATGCCTAGACATGCATTTGGGATAAAAATGATTGCTTATCACTATGGTTCTATAAACAACTTAATCCAGTCTTTGGAAGGAATGATTAAAAACCCAGTCCAATACTCCTTGGCTGACCTCATTTTGAGACTTAGCATCCCATGTTTGTGAAATTCAGATTTTAAGGAGGAAAGAACATTAATGTTGACTATTTAAAAGAATATGGCATAGAACAGAGCCATTCTTCAGTTAGGGAGAGAAAGCAAAGTTGTCTGGACTTTGGCAGTTCAAAGACATGCTTTAAGCAAACAGCCTGAATTCTTTTGGCTATAGAACCAACAGACTTGAAGGACAGTAGTCCAACTGGATTTCCATCTTCAAGATTTCACAAAAATCACCAAGTGATATTTAGTAGGTGTTGATGATGTGTGGAAGCAGAGGTTATCAACATTTCACCATGCCCTTGGAATTCTACAGTAATTCTTGTTCCTTTCGGGAATAGTCACACTGTGTGTATGCTATAGAAACTTAAAATTTCCAGCCAAAGATGATGCATGTCTTTGCATCAGTAAGTGTATGATTTAATCAACTGCAACCCTCAAAGCCACCTACACCAGGACTGATGTGAGCCTTTTGGCCCGTGCCGGAGGGTGAACTGGGGATGTGCCCAGCACCCTTCCCACTCAGTATGCACCTGGAAACTCTCCCTTCCTTTCAGCCCAGAGGGAGGCTGTGTCTGGGGAGGGTGGGGATCTGCACTGCCTGAGAGGCGCAGGAATGCATATCAATCACTGTTTGGCCGGTAGTACAGACACATTGCCCTTTTATCCCACCACCATTCAGGCCTCTCCCATCCAGGAAGTAGAGCTCTTTACAACATTGATGCCATTTTCAGTCACAGCAATAACATTTGTGAAATACTAACATGGGTGAAGTACGTAAGAACTTACAAAGGCCTCTAGGCTGTTGGTTTCGCATTGCCAGGAATGACATTGAGATGGCTGACATTGATGCAGGTGTTTGCACCTTACAGCCACGTCCTTCTAATGGACTAATCAACAAATCAAAAAACCCATCAGAAGATTTTCTCTGGGGCCTCTGATGAAATGCACCAAGGTATCCCCCACGCTTTTTACTGGGGACAACTTCCGATGCTGCCACCATCCAGAACACCAGGGTCTTCCCTTGATCACACACGGTTCTCTTCCTCTGTACACAGTCTCTTCCTACCTCCATGGTTGTTTAGATGGGACTTTTAGTGTAGCAAGTTCAGATTTAGAGTATACCTCCCCCAATTCTAGGCAGGTCTGTTAATAATATGGTGTGTTTGTTTCTATTTTTTTTTTTTCATTTTGCCTTAGTTTAACCCACCGATTAGGCAACAGAATGTTGTTGAAATACTTCACTTTTCAGTTCTACCTTTGCATCAACTAATGTCACCTACCTACAGCTCTTGTAGATGAAAGAAGCAAAATCCTTTTTACTCATTGTGACCAAATCTCTCTCTTAGTATCAGAGCAGGCTGATGTAGCGATTTCTCGATGTCCCATTGGACTTCCATTTGTAGATCACAAGACAGCAGGCTTCTGGTAGGCATTCTGAACTGCCGGTCTTTCTCTGTTCCTTCCAGGCAACTGGTAGCCCATCTACCTTGAATGATCCCTCTTTTGTATTGCCCCCGTTGTTCTCAATGGCAGCTCTCTTACTCAGCATGCGCGCTCCTCATTGAGTGTGCGTGTCCACGTCTCTTATTTATATACTAGATGCCCCTTGCAGGAAGATTCCTGCAATAGGGCTTCCTGCTGTGGTCTCTGCTGCCCCGCCTACTTCTGTCCCTTCTCCCCGTCCTGCCTGCTTCCCTGCCTTCTTTGCAGCTCTGCTTGCTTCTCTGCAGCTGCGCTCCCTTCTACAGCACTTGGCTTCTTTCTACACTGTCTTCAGTCTTCGTTCTGGCCTGGGTATGCAAATTAACCGCCATCTTGGTTGGGTTAATTTGCATACTCGCCCTGATTTGCTGGTGGGCATGGCTTGTGGGTGTAGTGAAGGTATGGTCAATTTGCATGTTTCTCTTTTATTGGAGAGGATATGTCTGCCCATGAATGTCTGCCCAAAGTTGGCTTTTGCCTAATATCACTGGGAGCATTTCAACTTCCAGTTTATATTGTGTTATTTCTGTGCATGAGAACTGGTAAAGAATTCATGTTTACTACAGAGTCTCTCTCCCCCCCCCCCCCCCATATCATCCCTAGCACATCTCCTGCTCCTACCTTCTACAGGGGGCCCTGTCCCACTCACCAGCCATGGAGGAGACAATGACAATGCTTCCGTTGCTCTGCTTCAGCATGGGAAGGGCAGCCATACTCAGGACCACATAACTGATGTAGTTGACCTCCATACTTTTGCGCACTAAGGGGATATCACCAACAAATGGTTCCATAGTAGCGCTGGTGATGTGATTGAGAATGAGCATGTCTAGTCCTCCTGCAAGAAATGACTGTGTTGAAAGAAACTATCTGGGGTTGATACCTTTTCTTTCCCCCTTTCCCCTCTTCCTTTTCTACATTCCCTAAGCCAAGTCCCAAGGAGCAAAGACGATAGAGGAAGTGCAGAGGAGGAGAGAAGAGAAGCAGCCTCACCCAAGATCTTTCCAGCTCTGGCAACAAAGCGCTCTGCGAAGGTCATGTCCTCCATGGTGCCAGCAATGTAGTGTGCCGAGGCTGCTCCATACTCCAAACACTCGGCTACTATCTGCAGGGACACAGTGTCCTTGGTTTCAGTGTTGTAACCGGAATTCAAGTTTGACAGCTTGCCAACACAAAAACCAAACTCATGAGACAAGACACTGGTGAAAAAGGAAAGAGATTTCATTCCAGTGCTGGTCACCTGAGGAGATGGGGGATTCTTGTTATAAAGCCTATCATCTCAGTATAGGCAGAGGTATGTGTGTGTGTGTGTGTGTGTGTGTGTGTGGGGTGTGTGTGTGTGTGTGTGTGTGTGTTTTAATATATCTTTATTGATTTCAGAGAGGAAGAGAGATGGAAACATCAATGATGAGAGTGAATCATTGGTCGGCTGCCTCTGCACAATGTCTCACTGGAAATCGGGCCCACAACCCAGGTATGTGCCCTGGTTCATAGGTCAATGCTCAACTACTGAGACAGCTATCTGGCGGGCCATGCAGAGGTTTTTATAAGGAGGGAGAGGCAAAGCAGAACAAAGAACTCAAGGGGAAGGAGTTAAAGAGTTCTCTATGTGCAGTCAGCACAGTTCATTCTGATAAGGATCTTGAGACTGGTCAAGTGGTGGTCTGGTGTGTGTTATCTTGCTTTTGTTTTGTCATCCTGGTTCTATGGTTAAAGATTAACAAATTTCCTGGAACGGGGGTGACTGAAAATTAGGTTCTGTATCTTCTGAAGTAGTTCTTAGAATTTTCATGCAAACATGTTGTCTATCTATAAGCTACATGTTAGTCAGAGTCAGCCTTACAGACACAATGTCAAAAGAATGGTGGGATGAGGTACAATTACTACTATTCTAGCATTTGCTACAGACCTTTGGGGACTCCCTCTGAAGCAATGGAGATTTAGATGAGTTGTTCACAGCACTGTTTTGATAGGTAATGTTAGTGGGTTTATGTGCATGAATGTGAATTTAGAGAGAGAGAGTGTGTGTGTGTGTGTGTGTGTGTGTTGCTAACTGCAACCCAACATAATCTTTGTCCTCTGTGTGAAATAATTTTCTGAAAGTATTTCAGGTAGGGTGTAAATGGATAAGTCACCACCTTGCTTGGGTTCAAGTCCATGATTTGTATATGTGAGTTTCTGTGAATAGTTGTTTTTGAACCATCCTAGTTTCTATGTAGATAGCCCTAAGTTTGTGAATGTTTTTATATTCTTGGGTTTGTGAGTCTGAGCATATGAGAGGACATGTGGGTGAAAGTTTGCATGGGTACAAGAATATTAATTCATGTGTAGGTGCTGGAATTTTGATATCTGAATACATATCTATATATCTGTGACTTTGTGTATAACTGTGTGTGTAGAGGCATGTCTATGAGTCTATATAACCCAAGAACTTTGTGTCTCTCCATATATATACATGCATGGGAATGAACACTGAAATGCATATTTTCATATTATTGTGAGTGTTTAAACCTGTAGGTAGGTGTGCCTGCGTATGTGTGTGTTTATGTGTGTGTATGCATCTGTGTATGGATGTGCCAGCCTCTTTGTGTTGGCATGTATACGTAAATATATATAAAAATACATCTGGGCATGTGAGCATGTATGTGTTTGTGGGCACAGAACCCTCACCTTCTTTAGAGCTTCTTCTGATCTCGCTGTCACCATCACATGGGCTCCCATCTTCGCCAGATGATAGGCCATCTCCTTTCCAATCCCCTTGCTGGCCCCTGTGACAATCACTTTCTTTCCTTGGAGCATCTCTGGGAAACCCCAAAAGGAAGTGAGGAGAAAAACCCAACGTGGCAGCAACATTCCTCCTCCTGCCCTGGACATGGGCAGCCTTCTTTCAGTGCCTCACGGTCATGAGTCCAGATCAACTTGTTTGCATACATCAGTAGAGGAAAGTTCAAGCCTTTCATAAATATACTCTGAAATGGAAGTTTGACTTGGTTGGTCAAAACCAAGTCTACCTACTGTATCTCCTATACTTGATCTTAGCCAAAAAGCCGAGAAACGATCTACCTACTGTATCTCCTAAAAACCAACAACAAAACATAACATCCCTCATGGACAGAAGTTTTAGCAGGAACACTAGAGTTCCAGGTGTTTGTGGACTCAGCCAGTTTTGTTCAATTGAAAAAAAAATGCAAACAGTAATCAAAACACGTGTGCTCTCAGAGACCCCAGGGATTTTTCCTCACTTCTAGTTAGTCATCAACTCCAGACTACTTTCTTGCCTCCCACTTATCAGTCCTTCCACGGAGCTCAAATATCTGGCTGGGCTGTGAATTTTGGAGTTACCCTTATTTTTATAGGGGGCCCATCATTGCTTTTCATTAAGGGGGCCAAGTACCACACTCCTGTTAGCCATCCCCTGTGGCTGGAGGACACAGAAATCCTCTCCCACCTCAAGGTCCCTGGTCGTTCTGCAACTTTGGAGGTCAGGAAATCATGATGATCCTCGGGCACTCCAGCTACCTATTTTTTCTTTTCTTTTTATCTATCTCTTCAAAAGTAGACATATTTGTACTTACCTGGTTTGAATTCCTCATTTGCTGAATAGTAGTAGTAGGCCAAGAAGACCCACAGAATGGGTAGGAGTTTTTTCATAAAAGCCATCAGTCAGGGATCTGACACGAGGAGCCCTGTAGGACACACAGAGAGAACCTACACAACTTGTTACAGCCTTCCAGGCAGGCAGCAGACTCTGAATTGGGACATCAGGAATGGGAGGCTGGAGTAGTCTCAGACAGGGCTAGCCAATTTTCCTGTAAGAGCAGCCGATTGGCTATGGGAGAGATCGCACTTATCTTGGCAGCCTGCATGGTAGATTTCACAATGAACAATATTTATTCCATTGCATTGAACAAGAAGAGACTTACAGATCGCCAAGTTCATGACTGTACAGGATTAGATTCTGCCAGCATCACTACCCTGAGTCCATCTTCCTCTGAACACCATTTACACTAGGAATCGATGACTTTATCAAAGTGCATGTCAAACCCCCATTTCAGAGCATGCTTCTGTGTGTGGCTTCTGGGGGGAATATGAGTAATAGCCAAGAGAGCTAAATTCAGGTCAAATCTCATTCTCAGTCCCACCTCCTAGTCAGAAGCAATTAAAAATAATAGCCCAATACAGAAAAATAAGCTTCTTAAGAAAATATGTCTAAAATATGTTCTTGAAAAATAAACAAGCCCGATAAACCTCACACAAGTTCAGTGAACATGAATTACAACATCAAAAGGGAATGCAAGCCAGCCAGAACCCAGATGGCAAGACTCTCAGGAAAGCTCCAGCCAATTTGGCTCAGTGGACAGAAGGGTCCTGGGCTTGATTCCAGTCCAGGGAAATACCTCAGTTGTAGGCTTGATCCCTGTGTGGGAGGCAACCAATCGATGTGTCTCTCTCACATCAATGTTTCTCTCTCTCTGTCTCTCCCCCTCCATTCTCTAAAAAACAAACAAACAAACAAACAAACAAAACACCTCCCCCCAAAAACAAACAAACTCACCAAAAATAAAAAACCAATGGAAAAATATCATTGGGTGAGGGTTAACAACAACAACAATGAACTCCTAGGAAATTGCAAAAGAATGTCCACTTAAGACTTTAGTAGTAAATAAAGAAGGAATAATGAGTGCCAAAAACCCAAAACGGTACAAAGCTATTAAACTGGGCCTTGTAAATGCTAGTAAGGAATGAGAACCATGGAGAAGTTGCTGCAAGAGGAGGACTGGAAGCAGCAAGCACCATCGAGGCAAAACTGGCCTGAAAATCCCACATCCAGCTGAAAACTGGTCTGAAACAAGACAAGGACCATAGAGGAGAAACCCTGAGGCATTTAGAATTTATCATAGAATTATAGAAATATCCACGCTGGTATGTCTAGAGTAAGAATTCATTAAGGAGTAATTCTTAAAGAATGAATTGAAGATATATTATTGTTAAGTTTTTCACCTTAGAACCAACTAACCAAACCATAAAAATTATCCCATCACAGAACAAATTCAAATTCTGCGAAGTTACCTGTAGAACTGAGAAATCTATTTACATGTGATGGTGAGAATGGGTATGGGGCTTTGGAAGAGGAATATGGGTTGAGGGTAGGGGTTGGGGGATTCTCATACTATTAATATTAAGAAAAATCCAGTATGACCCCAAGTACAGGATCTGGAAACGCTCCCTGAACTTTCATTTCAGAGTAAGGAAAAAGAATTGAAGACTCAAAAGAGATGAAATAATTTGTCAACAGAGACCCAGAGCTGTAAAGTTCACTTCCAGAAAATAATGGACATTTGATAATAATTAAGGGCTAAATAAAGCTCAAGGTCCATGGAGGACAAAATAGAAAAAATAAAAAGGAAAATTCAAGTAGAAAATTATATTACCTATGGTCAGAACTGTAAGAATTATATGCATAATTTTATAACCCACTTTATGCTACCAAGGTATGTTACAGACTAGACTCCATTTTCATCTCTAGAGGGAAGGGAATTTTGTTTATTTTCTTAATACTGCACTATTAATATAAAATTATAGGAAGGAACAATTGCTTGGAAATATGCTGCTGCTGAAAGGATGGAAAGATGGACAGACTAGGAAAGTTTATTACTGACAAAAATAATTTCAAGTTCACTACTCAAAAGATAATTTAAAGAAATAAAAAATAACAATAAGTAGGATAAACATCAGGGTGATAGAATGTAAAACTAATGCATTGACTATAGTTGATTGTTGGCTGAGTTAAAAAATAAAGTCCAAACTTGTGCTGCCTCAAAAGACATAAACACAGACATTAAATCACACATAGATGAATAACTTAATGACTTAATAGCTAACATGCCAGAAAACAAGGCCAGAGAAAGCACCTAACAAAGTAACATTCATGGAATTACATGAAATAATTTTTAGTCAGCAAAATGCATTAATGAGAAATGAGGACAATACATAATGGTATATATTCTTAGCAGTTCTTAAAATGTTTAGTCTCAGGATCCCTTTACAAGCTTAAAAACTATTGAGGATCACAAAGAAATTTGAGTGTGTGTGTGTGTGTGTGTGTGTGTGTGTGTGTGGTTTAGCTATTGATATGATATATTAGAATTTTTAAAATTCAAGAATACATAAGCATACATGTAGTATGCTTTCTACTAGTACACATCCTGTAGCTTCAGGAAAACTCATGAGAGAATAACAGGGAAAAAAGTCATATAATCTCTTAGTATGATTATGAAAATAGTTTTGATTTTTTAGACCCCCAGTGGGGTCTCAGACACCCAGGGGTAGCACATTTTGGCCATATCCTATATAATAAAGAGTGAATATGCTAATTGACTATCACACCCCACAAAGATGGCAGTGCCCATAGCCACTAAGGAGGGAATATGCTAACTGACTCCATGCCCTCAAAGATGGTGGTGCCCACAGCCACAAGATGGCAGCGCCCAGTCCTCTCAGTCCTACCAGAGTGGCAAACATGTGGCATGGCCAGGCCAGCTTCCAGGTGGGTCCTGCTGCTCCACGCGCCTGCCTCTGGAGTCCCCCAGGCCCCACAGCCTGCAGCTGCCCAGGGCTGGCTGAAGGTGCAGGCAAACCTTGGATGCTGGCTGCCCAGCCAATGCCCAGGGCCCAGGCAAGCTTCAGATGGTGGCTGCCCAACCAACTCCAGAGGCACGGGCAAGCTTCAGATGCTCCAGCCCAAGGTGCAGGCAAATCACCAGTGGCGGCTGCCCAGCTGCCTAGGGCCACCCGGGGTTCAGGTAACCAGGGCTGGCTGAGGCTTGTGCTGCCAGCAGTGGCAGTAGCAGAGGTGTGGTGAGGGCATTGTCTTCCCTGATTGCTGAGGGCTCCCAGAGTATGAGAGGGGGCAGGCTAGGCTGAGGGAAACCCCCCTCCAGTGCATGAATTTTCATGCACTGGGTCTCTAGTTACGTAATAAACACGGATCTCTGTATGTGCATATTTACATGCCTGGTTGTTCCATTTGCTTATAAACTCTCGGAGGACAGGGACTATATCGTTTTCATCTTTGCTGTTTTAGTGTTTCTGAGTTTCTGCAGCAACGAGAAGATGGCTGACTCCCTGGACTGAGTTAAAAAGCAGGGAAATCCCTGGGATTCAGTGTTCTGATCAGCCCCACTCCTTTGTCCTCTTTGGAGAGCTTCCTTCTCCTTCTCAAGTGTTTACCTTCTTCTAGTAGTCCTCCCCGGCCTGGCCCATCCCCCAGAGTTCTTTTCCCTTCAATTCCAATGTTCCTCTCACTTTGTCAGCCCCACTCTCTAGTCCTCTTCTGTAGAGGGCCCCCTGGGAAGCCACATGGGCATTCTTTAAATTATTGTCAGCTGAAAACAAGGCTACAGGCAAAGCCACACCCTGGATACCCGCTTTGCCAAAAAGGCAAGAGTGTTATCAGCGTGGCCTTCATTTCAGCTCAGGTGTTGGATAGTGTGCTTTGATAGGTAAATCCAGTCTAGCACCGGGAATGAGGGAATGAATAGAACCTGAGCCCAATCGAGCTCCTTTGATCCTAATTTTTTGGTGAAACCCCATGGTATTTGGAATATAAATAAACATGCTGCGTCGGCTCTGAGTCCCTGTCCCTCCATCAGAGAGGGCGGCAGTCCCACTCGGCTCCCAGCTTTTTCCTTCCATCTTCGTGTCTTGTTTCTTTCTTTCTTTCATTTCTCAATCCCCAGCTCCTCTACTCAGGAACCAGACCTGCTCTTTTTTTTTTTTTTTTTTAATATATTTTATTGATTTTTACAGAGAGGAAGAAAGAGAGATAGAGAGCTAGAAACATCCGATGAGAGAGAAACATCGACCAGCTGCCTCTTGCACATCCCCCACTGGGAATGTGCCTGCAACCAATGTACATGCCCTTGACCGGAATCGAACCTGGGACCCTTCAGTCCGCAGCCCGACGCTCTACCACTGAGCCAAACCGGTTTCGGCCAGACCTGCTCTTTTTCTGTGCTGGACGTGGGAAAAGAAAAACACCTACACTCTTCTAGAGCTTTTAAAAAATATGAAAAGAAACACAACTGTTTCACCTCACATTTCTTTTGAGTCAAATTTTCTCCAAGCAGGTAAAGTTGCTTTCACTGCCACAGCACCAAAGCTAGCTGGGTACTCCACTCCTTTGTGCTGCCTCCCATTTTTAAAAATTAAATTTATCAGGGTAACATTGGTTAATAGTATTATAGAATATTCAGGTGTACAATATTATAATATGACATCCGTGTACTCTACTGTGTGCTCACTACCTGAAGTCTAATTGCCTTCCATTAGCATATATTTGACCCCCATTACCCACTGCTCCCTCTCCTCCCAACTTTCCCTTCTGGGACCCACCTGTAAGAATGGCTATTATAAATATATATATATATATATATATATATATATATATATATATATATATGAAATAACAAGTGTTGAAGAGGGTGTGCAAGAAAGGGAAACTTTTTCTTGCTGGTGGGAAATGAAGTTAGTGCAGCCACTATGGAAACCAGTATGGCCTGGCCAGCATGGTTCAGCGGTTGAACATAGACCTATGAACCAGGAGGTCATGGTTTGATTCCAGGTCAGGGCACATGCCCAGGTTATGGACTCCATCCCCA